TCACCATGTCCCTTGACCATCCTATGTTAGAGTCTTCCTAACAAAGCTCTCAACCCCATGGTCTGTGGAAATCCCACCTGTAAGGACCATGGAACTAGCATGGCTGGAGGCCAGAGCTGCCCACTGAAGGAATGGGGTCTGTGCATCAGCTCCAGGTGCTGGATAAGATGGAAGGGAGGCCGAGAAGATGGAGAGGCTGATGCGGGCAAGGCCACCCAGCCAAACCAGGGCTGTAGTCATTATACCTGTGGATGCACTACCTAGCCACAGGTGGTGGGGTGAGAGGCCCAGTTTCTGGGAGAAGAGCCCCGAAGGAGCTTTTAGCATCACCCAGGAGAGGCAGCCACGGTACAGCAGAGCCAGAGCCATCCAAGGGAGAGTGAGTATCTCTGAGTGGGAGGATATGCCTTCATCTCCAGGAAGCCTCCATGTATTCCGAGAGCCAGCGACTTTTACCCGAGGACTGTGGGGCCCTGGGGTCTCAGATATGACTGCTAGAGCATGACCCCAGTGCCCTTCTTGGACCTCAGATGGGTTCTCTTTGCCTTTGCCATGTTTTTGTTGACGTTGTCATTTTGAATTAGCCTGAGTGGAAAATACAAGCATGTTTGTGTGGCACCAGCACCTAAGAGTGCGTGAATCCAGGCCTAGCCAGCCCTTGCTTCTGAGCTCCCCACTCAAACCCTTGTCTTGAGCCGTAGCCTTGTGGCAGGCATGCATGGATAAATGACCGTGTGAGTGGGTGGCACAGCTCTCAGAGGCCGTATGGCACTTTGGTTTAGGAAAAGGTAGAGAAAGTGGCTGCTGCTAACTCAGCCCCCCCGAGTCACCTCACCCCTGCCACAAGCCAAACCTCTTTCCACGGTCTAGGTTCTTGCTGCCATAGCAGGAAGCCGGAGGAGCCTGAGGTGGCTTCTTTGTTCAGGAAGGCCAGGAGAGGCTGGGGTGCCGCCATCAAGGGGCTACATAGGGCAAGTCTCAGATTGAAGGGACCTCACAACAAAGCCACTGGCCTTGTGGCATCATGTCCTTCTACTGTGTGGCCACTCATTTCTTCATTCATGTAAACCTGTGGAAATTTTCAAATGCACAGAAAGTGGGGGGTAAGGCAGAGATAACAGGGTCCCAGCCGCCCATCCCCACAGGGCCACCTCTGCCACATCTGCTTAATGAAGATCCCACTCCCCCCAGCCTTACTCTGCCAGGGACTTTCAGGAGAATCGCAGATCCCGCCACTACATCGGATACTTGAGTGTGTATTGCCAGCAGACGAGAGTTTTGGGAGTGTTAGTCTCCAGACAAAAGTCTGGGCCGTGCCATAGGCTGCCTGGCAAGGCCTACAGAGGCAAGGACCAAGATGAAAAAACCAGGTTCTGTGGCTGGAGGTGAGAGCCACAGCCTGGTGCTTACCTGTGTCTTGTCAGGACCACCCTGCAGAGGAGACAAAGGCACAAAATCAAAGAGGAGGACAGCAGCAGGGCCGAACCCATCCAGAAGAACAATGTGCCATGGGAAATGCCCAGCGGTCTCAGGGGAGAGCTGGGGAGAGCTGGAGCAGACAGCTGATGAAAGGCGTCACCGAGGCTGGGCCCTGCAGAGGGGTGCCTGGGTCCAAGGTGGGAGGGAGTGGATGGGCGAGAGTGTGCCCAGGGTGTTTCACTGGTAACTCCTGGAATCGCTATGAGGTTGGATGCTGGGGGCTTTCAGACAGCAGGGAAGGCTTCTGGGCAGTGGTTTACTGAGGAGGTGGAAAGTTTGGGGTCCTGAGATGGTGAGGGGCTTCCGTTCAAGTGGAGCTCGAGGGTGTTACCATTTCTGTCCCCCTGTTGTCCTGTCAAGTGGGGATAGGACTTGTGGAATAAAGGGAGGTGGCCTCGGCAGGCTGAGCATTGGTATTGGAGGACCTGGCAGGAGAGCGGAATGGGAAGAAAGGCTGGACCGTCTGGGCCAATGGCTGAGTGGGGCTCACAACCCTGGGTGTCATATTTCCACTCTGCACCCGCCTCTTGTGGATTCCAGTCCGTAAACCCATCAGCAAAGTAACATTAGAAGCAGGATCCTGTCTTTGCTGGCTTTGGGCCAGCCAGTGGGGGAGGGGAGAGGTTACTTCCAGACCATGTTCTGTGAAGAGGGAACTGAAAGTGCCAACATACAAGGGAGATAGTTCACATCCTCTCTGCTAGCCCTACCTTGCACAGCCAGGGTCAAGGACACAGAGGATCCCGCCTTCTGATCCCGGCTCCTGGGGCTGGGCCATTTGTGTGCGGCTAAACGGTCACTAGATGGGGTGTAGCACCTAAGAGGACCCTAAAATAGACTCCAAGAAAAGTCAATGCTCGAGGCATTGTCTTCGTAAGGCAAATGCAAAAATATCTGTGTAGATCATTGTCAGCTGTTGTGGAATATTATTTTAAGGTGTGTTACTTTTGTTTATGTTGCAATTGTTTAACTCTGTGAAGCTGTGTTACTGTGCCTGTCTAAAACACCTAATGGTCTAATGTTGGCTGGACAGCCAATAGTGAGGCAGGAGAGAGAAATAGATGGGGCTGGCAGGCAGAGAGGATAAAATAGATGGAGAGAGGAAAGAGCAAGAGAACAGGAGAGGGGGACACAAGGGCCAGCCACCCAGCCACCCAGCCACCCAGCCACCCAGCCAGCACTGGAGTAAGAAAGAAAGATGTACAGAAATAGAGAAGTGTAAAAGCCCAGAGGCAAAAGGGAGATAGGAGATATAAAGTTAAGAAAAGCTGGCAAGAAACAAGCCAAGCTAAGGCCGGGCATTTATAAGAAAGAAAATGTCTGTGTGCGTTATTTTATTTGGGAGCTGGGTGGTGGGCCCCCCAAAGAGCAAAGAGCAAAAACAGCCAACAGCAGTCAGCACTTTAGACAAAGACAGGCTCACCCCTAGTGTTCCGTTTGCCTTCAGCACTAGGCGGGCCTGGGGAGGTGGGTAGAAGGTGAGGCTCCATCCAACTTCTAACTCAGGTTCTGGAGGTGGCCCCAGTACTCTGACTCCTCAAGAGGAGGGCATTGCAGGCCTGAGCACTGTCTTAGTTAGTGTTCTTTGCTGTGAAGAGACATCACGACCATGGCAGCTCTTATAAAAGGAATCATTTAATTGAGGGTTCGCTTATAGTTTCAGGGGGTCAGTCCATTATCATCATGGTGGCGTGCATGGCGCTGGAGCAGTATGCTGGATCCAGCTATATGGAGCTATATGCTGATCCAGAGGCAGAGAGAGAGAGAGAAGAAGAGAGAGGAGAGAGAAACTGACTGGCCCGGTGCGGGCTTAGCAGGTTCAGCATGTGTGAAGAAGGTGAAGGCTGCCGAGGCAGGGCCCTGGCTGGGCCAGGCAGGCCTCAGGAAGGGAGTACAGCCCAGGAGTTGAAGCTGGTAGAGGCAAGAGGCACCAGTCAGTCTGCAGATATGGTCCTGAGGCTGCCCAGCAGGGACAGTGTAGACTTGGCCAGGACCCTGAAACCTGACCAGCAATGGCCAGGTCTCTGAGACCTGGGGATCTAAAGCCCCTGAGAAAAGGGCTGGGCACCCCCATAGGGCAGCCTGGGTAGTAGTGTCCTGAGTCGCCTGCCGAACCCGTTTTAGAGTACAAGAGGCTTGGGGTGGTGTAGAGCCAGGGTTGAGGGCAACTTGTAGCCTGTGCAAGAGAAGGTGGTGGTTAGAGACCATCGTAACCTCCACATGTTGAGCATCTTCCTGGGATACGCTGGCCTCTAGATCACCAGGCTACTGTGGGGGTGGGGGGTGGAGAGGTCTTGATACTGCTGTCCCACCTATCTGTCCAGAGGTAAGAAACCCCTGGAGTGGTGCCCTGCCCTGTGAGCCAGTCCACAGGACAGTAGGGGACTCAGCAGCACCTTCTCCAGATCCTGTGGCCAGAGGTTGAGGTTTCTGAGGAGGCAGAAAGTCAGGAGTGGCCGGTCTGCATTTGTCTGCGGGCCGACTGAGCCAGGCCTGCTTCCGCCGTCTGTCAGGTCTGGATACGTGACGACTGGCAAACACATCTTCATGAGCACGGAGGAGAGGGAACGTTGCTGCCTCTGGCCAGGGAGCAGGGGATAGGGTGCCATTTCGTGACCACAGACACTGTGGGGGCCTGCCCAGTCATGATAAAAAAAGAATAAAGTGAGCTAAGGAAGAGGAAGCATCCCAGGGTGGGGCTGAGCTGCCCTGGTAACCATTTCAAGTTGTTTCTAGAGCAAATGTGTTCTTTGCTGTTTTTCTGTAGGTGTCCTCAGAGGTGACAGGTACCAGCTTCCCTTCCAGAAATCCCCGCTTTTCAGCTCAACCTCAGGACTGGCGTAAGCAGTGCAGACAGCGAGGGGCGGGGAGCAGCCACCTCCCTGTTGCTGTCGTCAATAAGCCCACAGCCTGCTCAGCTTACGGCAGGCTTGAGACAGACTTAAGACAGACAGCTGTGAGGCTTGAGAAAGACAGCCGTGAGGCTGGCCGTCCTCAGCCCGAGAGAGACCAGGTGTGTGACATGATGTAGCTGGCTGGGGCTTCCACATGGGGCAGAGATGCATGGGATCTATCCCATTTGATGATGCCGGGCTGGAGTCTATCAGATGAATGAGGATGGACTGGGATCTGTCAGATGGGTAAGGCGGGGCGGCAGAGCTTTGTCAGATGAGGGGGTGGTGGGGTTTGGCTGGGGTCTGTCAGTTAGGTGGGGTTTGGCTGGGGTTTGGCTGGGGTCTGTCAGTTAGGTGGGGTTTGGCTGGGGTTTGGCTGGGGTCTGTCACATAGGCATGCTTGAGCACAGTTGGGACTGGGCTGGGGACTTGGATCCTCAGGGTAGGCTTCTTGAGGGACCTGGCGGAAGTACTTACACCAGGACCAGTGCACTGTTCTCCCTAGGGGTTGAGGTGAGGGATGACATGGTCCGCAAGGACGTAGTAACTCGGGATGTTTCTGGGCTTTGGTGCCTCCCTCATCTGGGACTCCAAAGTCTATTTTGTAGGTGGTGTCTCGCACTTGAAAACTAGAAAAGAAAGTAACTGTTTTTGCCTTTGAGAGGAGCAGCGAGTTTCCAGCCACATGCCTTCTGTGGGGCCTGGGGCATTTCCATAGGGGTCCAGGCTCCAGCACCTGTGGTTTTAGAACCTCTGCAGTATCTAACTGATAGTCCCTTATTCCTGTCCCCAAATCTCAGGTAGTGGGTGGGGCCCCCAGGCCTGATTATGAACAGACAAGCACTCAGGGGTCTGTGGGTCCCCATCCAGACATCAGGATGGGTGAGGGACAGGCTCGGGTGGGCTCAGGCTTTCCGTCTGCCCCCACAGACTTCTTTCCTAGATGATCGGGCCTGAACCCATAGGGCAGCCTTCTGCTTCTCCATAAGGGGGCTTGATCTTGCCCAGGGACCTCCGCGGTGCACAGCTGGCTCCCCTTCTCATGTCAGCTCCATATGTCACCCCAGGTAGGAAGTTACTCGCCTGAAAGCACCATTTCCCCAACCCAGCAGCCAATGGCGGGCGGCTTCTCCAGACCCAGCCGTGAGCATCCCAGCACTGGCTGTGTGGCAGACGCCGAGTGCTGGTTGAGGGCAACCCGCCTGCAACTCTGAGGCAATTGGGAGTGTCTGGCTACAGTCCCCTGTGCTATACTGAGGCAAGGCCAGGACATGCGCTGGCTGTCACTGGGCCCTGGGACTTGACATCCTGAACTTTGCAAGGAGGTGTCCTGAAGGACCAGGCTTCCCTGAGCAGGGCGCCTCTTCTCAGCTGTGTCTGCACCTTAACCTCTTGGAGCATTTGAGTCTTTCTTCCTTAGGGTCTTGTGTTATCTTTAAAATGGACAGAGGTTTTGACCTGACCCTACAGAATGCTAGGTCATGTTGAGACTAACCTGAAAATTCCAAGCTTGGGTATGTAACAAGAGGCCTCCATATAGCCACGTGGGACAGTGGACACTAGGGAGGGGCCAAGCAGTGGCCCCATATCTCACAGCCGCAGGTTTCAGGCAGCTGAGAAGCCAGGCTGCCCCTTCCAATCCCAGAGGCAGAGAGTAAGAGTGTGTGGGGGCGGGGCTATGTTTTCAGGTGAAGGGGCCTCAGGTGGGAGCCCAGCTGCTGGCAGCATGGAGCCCTTCCCCACAGGCAGCCCAGGACCTGTCCTGTCCAGCTCCTGGATACTGAATGAATTCCAGGGACATGTTCTGCTGGAGTCCCCACAGGGTGCCTCTGGGTGAGTGTATCTGGGAGTGAAGGGCAGACAGGAAGGGCCATCTTAGTAGTCAGTACCAGGGCTTTCGAGGATGTCCTCAGAGCTCAGCCTGGCTCAGGGCCCTCCAGGGGCCTCAGAACCCTGAGTTGTATGAAAAAAACAAACAAAAACTGCAGAGCAGGGCTCATGAAACTGTGATTGCTGGCAATCAGCCCATTCTAATCCGGCAGATAATGGAATCTAGACACAAAGATATGATAGCAAAATATTCGGCTCAGCTGGAGTCTGTGCCTGGCTTCTCTAATGGATTGTGGCCTTGTAGGTTCCCTGGGGACCAAAGAGGAAATGAGCCGTGGCCCAATCTAGCATGCATTAACCTCCCTGTCTGCAATCACTGAGCTGGGTGCTTGTCCATTTCCGGTGTGGGGAAGGAAACATGCCTTCGACTTTTCCAAGGCAGATAGCAGCCTCGGCCTGACTCTCCCTGGTGAGCAACTCTTCCTCTCCTCTGTCATCTTCCCCAGTAGGAAGCCGCCGTATAAAACCTGGACCCATGACTCTCCCAATCCTGCAGCCCTTCCTGATCCTGGTACCCAGCAAGGAACAAGGCGGTGAGCCAGGTGTCCAGTGTGCCTGGGCTCAGCGCTTGCTGGCAGTTTCTTGAGTTAGCTCCCACCCAATGTTGTGGAGTCGCACCAGCCCCCCTATGGTAGGGTAGCCGAGGCTGGCCCGACAGTAGGATGAGATGGGGAGTCTGATTGTCACACCAACTGCCATACCCTAGATGCCAGGCCACTGCCCAAGCCTACCTGGGTGGGGCTTGATGAACTCAGTAACCCTCCTGGGCCTCATTGTAGAGAGCAGACAGGGGAGTAAAGGGCCAGTGTAGACAGTGGAGGGTGGCCTTGGTGGCCTTGGTGACTATGGAGTGGCGTGGGCCTCTGAGTGTATCCAGGTCCCGGAGGGACAGGGCTATGACCACTGAGAACTGTGTACCTCTGAGCTCAAGGTGGACACCCTGATCTCAGACATGAGCTTGGGATTAGTCCCTGGGCTGATGCCTGGTGGTGGCACCTCAGAAGTTTCCACAGCTTTCCAGAGGTGATCTCAAGTCATATAAACCCACTGTGGTCCTGTGCTTCAGGGACAAACCAGGCAGAGCGGGTGCTGTCCATATCTGTGAATCAAATGTAGGTGTCTTCTTGCAGTCAGGTTGGGGGCAGAAAGCTGCAAGGCCCAGCCTTGGGATCCTTGGGCCCATAGGTGGGGCTGCCTCTGAGGCCTCCCTGCTGAGAGCTGCATGCTGAATGAGGCTGGTAGGCATCAGTCTCCACCCAGGACTTGAACTCTGGAGAGTTGGAGGCTTCCTGGACTGGACCTGTAGACACTCTTCCCACCTTCCCTCTCCCCTGCAACAGGCCGGGCCGAGGAGAGAAAGGCTAGGGAGAGATGGAGGAGTCGTTCTGTCTCTAGCTTTGGGCTGCTCACTGCAGCATTAGGCCTTCCTACATCTGGAGTCTTTGGTTTCCCTACCTGTCCAGTGAGAAAAGGTTAGGCCTCGAGGGTGACGCTGAGATTTTTACAGTTTCTATGGTTTCTTTGGAAAGGGGAGTTTCACAGTGTGGTGCACGCTTGCTCCAGAATTCCTGTCCTGAGGTGGGCAGGCCCTGGGACAGGGATAGGGCCTTACCCTGGGGCTCCTCCTTCTACCTACCCTCACTGACTTTCTGACCCTCCCTGCAGCCCCAGGACCATGAATGCAACTTGCAACAGCAGCAGCACGTGGCCTGATTCGATCACCTACATCTTCACCACCTACTCAGCCTTGCTGCTGGTGCTGGGCCTGCTGCTCAACGGCCTGGCACTCTGGGTATTCTGCTCTCGCATGCACCAGTGGACAGAGACCCGCGTCTATATGACCAACCTGGCTGTGGCTGACCTCTGCCTGCTCTGTTCCCTGCCCTTCATGCTGTACTCCCTGAGAGACACTTCAGACACACCAATCTGTCAGCTCTCGCAGGGTATCTACCTGGTCAATAGGTACATGAGCATAAGCTTGATCACGGCCATCGCTGTGGACCGCTATGTGGCCGTGCGGCATCCGATCCGTGCCCGTGAGCTGCGGTCCCCACGACAGGCTGCCGCAGTGTGTGTGACCCTCTGGGTGGTAGTGGTCATCTCCCTGGTAGTGCGCTGGCGCCTGGGGCTGCAGGAGGGTGGTTTCTGCTTCAGGAACCACAGCCGGCAAAACTCCAGCACCATAGCTTTCTCGCTGCTGGGCTTCTACCTGCCACTGGCCATAGTGGTCTTCTGCTCTTTGCAGGTGGTGACTGCACTGGCGCAGAGGCCAACCTCTGATGTAGGGCAGACAGAGGCCACCCGCAAGGCCACCCACATGGTCTGGGCCAATTTGGCTGTGTTTATCTTCTGCTTCCTACCGCTGCATGTGGTCCTGACCGTGCAGTTCTCCATGGGCGCGAACACCTGTGCTGCCCGTTATACCTTCAGCCGCGCCCTGTCCATCACAAGCAGACTCTCAGATTCCAACTGCTGCCTGGACGCCATCTGTTACTACTACATGGCCAAGGAGTTCCAAGATGCATCCATGTCAGCCATGTCCTCCAATACACCCCACAAGAGCCAAGATTCTCAGAGCTTGACTCTTACCTAGAAGTGAGCATGTGCCATGAACCAGAGGAACCTGTGATATTAGCAAGGAGCCCCCAAATCTGCCTGAACATGATGTGGGTTTTGAACACTCTAGGAAGCTCAGGTGGCCTGGAGAGGCTGTATCTGCTCCCTGGAAGGGACCAGAGGACTGAGACTCTTAAAGACCAACTTGAAGGACCCTGGAACAAGGCCACATACTTGCCACTCCAGATCTAGAACCCCTGAGGCACCAGAATGGGGCCTTGGTGGCTGGCCACTGGGTTTAGAATGGAGATCTGTCCTGGAGATGGTCCTAGAAGGGCCCTCGGTGTCAACCAGATACAAGTGGTGAGAGGCTAAGAAAGAACGGAGAGTTTGGAGAGCCAGGAGACATCCTCTGAGAAGACTCTCTAGTGGCTGCTTCCTTGAGGGACCACCAGACTTCACACCTCCTATATGGTTTGGCAGGAGGGCAGTAGCTGTGGTCTGGAAGGCTGTCTTCTATAGCACATGGCTCTCGATGTTGCTCTGTATTCAGAGGGGGTTCCAGCTCAGGAGACCCGATGGTCATAAAGCTGTGTTCAACAGTCACACACTGCTGTTGAAGCCCTGAGCCTCTTGGTGGTGTTTCCATTTGATAGTGGGCCTGTTGATCACAAGGCCAATGGCTGTAGTAGTGGTCTGCTGGAGTCTGTTGTGAAGAAGATTGACATTTGGCCTGGTCCCTGCATTCTCTGGGGGTGTGGCCTCAGGCTACAAAGGGGCTCCACAGACCAGGATTAGCTACAAAGCCAGATCACTTTTGGAGTGTGATAGCCCTGGGCTTTCTCTCTCTGTGCTTTATTTTTTTGTCTTGGCTCAAATGCTGCAGCCATACCTGGAGCCAGAGCCCCCAACTAGGGGTGGCCTGCCACACTCCCGACTTCTACTTCATCCAGCTCTGACTGCCTAACTGTCCCCTTTTTGTTATGACCTTTTCTGCAGAAACCAAAAGTCTGCTCACCCTCCAGATACCAAAGAAAGGATTCCATCCAAGTACAGACTGGCGAAGCAGTTTACTGGAGTTACTTACAAAACATGGTGACTCCACCACTCCATGGTGGCTCCACCACTCCATGGTGGCTCCACCACTCCATGGTGGCTCCACCACTCCATGGTGGCTCCATCACTCCATGGTGGCTCCATCACTCCATGGTGACTCCATCATTCCATGGTGGCTCCCATCACTGAAAAGTCCCACTCAACGGGTGACAACTCACAAAAACTGCACCAGTAGATTACCAGTCCCTAGGAAACTTCCACCTCATATATACCTGGACACCCACTCCAGACAAGATACAGATGGGGGTCTGAGGGGGTGGTGGCTGGAACCTCAGGTCCTCTGGCCCTCATGTCCCTCTAAGAGGGAATGCTGACAGCTTCATGCCCAACACCAATCTGTTTAGAACAGTAGTATCTTCTTATTTCATTGCCATGACTGTGAGCCAAGGTGTTCAGTGGATGGAAGCAGCAATCTTCTTGCTCATGGTTGGTGATCGTGCTAAGCCAGAGGAAATGGCTTTCCGACCACAGTCTACTACTCTTCCATCAGCTCTCGTGTTCTTTCCACCCTCTGCAATTTTCTCTGAACCTTCACCTGAGAAGGGATGATGCATCTATATAATCTATAAAATATATAATATACATGTGCGTGCCTATGGTTCTTTTCTGAGTATCATGCTTCTAGACTATAAGAACAGACACTTATTCTAAGCGGCCTGACCTTGGTAGAAGAAACAAACCTCAGGAGGGGAAGAAGTGGATCCCTTGGGGCCCCCGCAGTCCCTCCTAGTGTGTGGCAGTAGATTCTGCCCACAGCACCAGCAGAGCGCTTGCCCTGATGAAGAGAGCACTCTACCCTGCTCATCCTCTTTGTAACCACAGTTTTAGGGGGACATCCCATGCTCCCCTAGGCTAGGCTTGACCATCTGGCCTGATGATGCAGAAGAAATGGGTGGGAAGTGAAGGGCAGAGTCTTCACACAAAAGCTGCAAAGTTAGCATACTAAAAACTATGGAGACAGTGAGAAGGCTCACCTGGCAAGGGTGCTTGCAACCAAGCCTGGCACCCTGAGTTCAATCCCTGGACCCAACATGGTGGTAAGAGAGAACCATATCCCACAAGTTGTGCTCTGGCCCCACACATACCCAAAACAAATACATAAATGTAAAAAATAATAATAATAACATAGTAGAAAACCCTGTTGGCAAAGAGGAAGACTGAACCCCATACCACTACTGGCCAAGGCCAACTAGAACTGGTCAGAGCCACTGGAGAACATGCTGGGACCCTCCAGAACATCTGAAGGTGACCTCTGACTTGTTAAAACCCAATTTGACAGAGCATTCGTGAGAAAGCTCATGCTCTACAAATAACTTCCCCAAAGCCCATTCTGTGTGTACGAGCTGGTTTTGTTTCGTGTTGGTTTTGTCAACTTGACACAAGCTCATCTGAAAAGAGGGAACTACAATAGAGAAAATGCCTCAGACTGGCCTGTAGGCAATCCTGTTTTCTTGGTGATTAAATGATGTGGGCTCTATTCATAATAGCCAGAAATTGGAAACAACCTAGATGTCCCTAAACAGAAGAATGGATAAAGAAAATGTAGAACTTTTACACAATGGAGTATTACTCATCCATTTAAAAAAATGACATCGTGAAATTCACAGATAAATGGATGGAACTAGAGAAAAATCATCCTGAGTGAGGTATCCCAGATCCAGAAAGACAAATCTGGTATGTATTTGTTTATATGTGGATATTAGCTAGGAAGTCAATGATAACCAAGCTACACCCTGTAGAACTACAGAGAGTAGATATAGAGTAAGGAAGTAGGGGTGACAGACAGATAGATTCATTAGGAAAGATAGTGATGGATGGATGGGGATGCTGGAATAGGAGAATCAAGTGGGGAGGGAGAGGAGAGGAGGGATGAGGGAAGGAATGTGAGGAGAGACAGCTAAAATTAAGGGCAATTTGAGATCAGTGTTGAAACCTAATACAGTCAAAGCTTCCTAAAATATATACATATATGAAGGTGAGCTAAATGAAATCACCAAATAAGGGGGATGACAGAGTCCCAAAAGGCCATCTCTTGTCACCAAATGAAGTTTCCAATATAGGGATTGGGTTACACCTGATTGGGTTGTTGGCCAAAGGGGTCCCATGGGACTCCCCAGACAACCCAGGCTGTTGCTTTCCACTAACTGACAGCAAGGCCTCAACACCTACACAGCTCATTGAGCATGGAGAGGTCGAGCTGGTGCCCACCTAGAGCCTTCACCCCTATGTTCTAGCGTCTTTGGTACAGGAAGGCACTCTGTATACTAGCAAAGGGAAGCATAAACACCAAGCCAGCCACAAACCCTTTGATCTGCAGTGGTGTCCTGCCTGAAAGATAGGCTAGGCCAATGGTGGCCCAAACCTCATGGGAGTCACCGACCACTATCTGATTTGACATAAGGCCACTCCAGAGATAGAACCTGTACCCTGTACTGCTTGGGTGACCAAGAACCAGAGACTAGATAGCCAGGGATCTAGGTTAAAACCGAACACTACTGTTCTAACAAAACAAGAAGACAGCAGCAAGATGACTCCTACTGACATTCTGCTGTGCTCATAGATCAGTGCTTTGCTCGGTCATCTTCAGAGACGCTTCCTCCAGCAGCAGATGGGAGCAAATACAGAGACCCACAAGCAGACATTATGCGGGGAGTGAGAGACCTTGGAACACTAAGCCCTAAATGGGATGTCTCTCTCTAATCCCTCCTCGTAGGACTCAGGGAACCCTGAGAAAGAGGAGGTAGAAAGAGTGTAAAAGCCAGAGGGGACGGAGGACATCAAGGCAACAAGGTCCTGTAAATCAACATGAGCAAACTAATATGAACTCACAGAGACTGAGGCAGCATGCACAGGGCCTGCACAGGTCTGCACGGGTCTGCACGAGGTCCCCTGTGCATATATTGTGGCTTTGGGTTGGTTTTTTTTTTTTTTTTTTTTTTTTTTCTCGAGACAGGGTTTCTCTGTGTAGCGAGCCAAGGTGTTCAGTGGATGGAAGCAGCAATCTTCTTGCTCATGGGTGGTGATCGTGCTAAGCCAGAGGAAATGGCTTTCCGACCACAGTCTACTACTCTTCCATCAGCTCTCGTGTTCTTTCCACCCTCTGCAATTTTCTCTGAACCTTCACCTGAGAAGGGATGATGCATCTATATAATCTATAAAATATATAATATACATGTGCGTGCCTATGGTTCTTTTCTGAGTATCATGCTTCTAGACTATAAG